TAATATGATATAAACACAAAAAACAATAAAGGCTAACAAATCATCCTTTAATTATATTGTGCTGAAGCAGGCCTTATGAAATCCTCTGGTGGGCTTTGTACAGCCTGTGGGCAATAATTTGTGCCTATAAAGACCCCAAGTCTAGATATTTCCAACAGTGTTCAGACAGATAACAAAAAGAGCACTCAGGATAGTTCTCACCTGGTAGTTCTTTCTGTTTTAAGAAACTAAAATATCACCATACTGTACCTCAATATGTAATTAACACCAGGAATAAAGCTCTCTGCGGCAACAACCTTCACTTTAAATAATTAAGCAATTATTTACCTTTGTCATCTAATTATGTTTTAGAAAAGTCTTGCTGGGCTAGTCGTTTAGACAGTTTAAAGGAGACAACCTGCTCCAGTTTGTGCTGATGTTACAGTATTTAAATATTTAAATGTTAACGTGTTGTCATTACTGGTATTGTTAATTCAGTGTTACTGGTAAATGTGTGTGTATGTACAGTATATATACTGTACTTAAATAAATAACTTGTAAGATAGTGTAGCTGTTCTACAACATTATCCTTAAGATATAATAAACACATTTTGGTAATTATTCATTCTAACTTATTTTAATCTTATGCACTGGGATATTTAGTTGAATGTTTTTTTTTATTCTTAGCCAAGATTTAAGGTTCTGTGATTGGGTTTCATCAGAGGAGTAACAGCTGTATTACAGGCAAAAGAAAAACAAAAAAACCTGAGAGCATTTTGAATTTCCCTCTTCGATTTCTTAAGTATTTCATTAGGAATACAATTATTGCAAAGGAGTAAAGATTACATATCCGTACCATTGTATGACCTGACCAATTCTTTTCAAAATGCTCCAATTGAAACAAAAGACAAATCTTTCCCAATTTAATAGAGCTAGCTCCAGTTAACAGTGTCAGAATCAAAGGCAATGGCTTGTGCATCTAGTAGTTTTCATTAGTTTCTTTATTGAGTGATTATATGTTTTAACACTTCACATATTCCAATATATTTGAAAGAGGATATTCTGGAAATCCACATAGTACTCTGAAGATATTTTATTTACATTAGACAGAAGGATTTAGAATGGTTCTTAATTTTGGCAACAGATTAAGGTGGTGAGCATATTTTACAGAAAATGAAAACAATCTTCTAGCTAGAGGCAATTACAAATACACTGAGCAAATTTATCCCCGCCTATAGAATTTAATAATTTTTTCTTTAACCATCCATCATTTGTTTTAAGGGGTGTAAAGTAAGAACTGAGAAGGCATGGTGAATAATATTCAGAATTGTACGATTTGAAGTCCTAATTGTGACCTAAATTATAGTGAAAACTATTATTATACTAATATCACTAATGTGATGGATTTGTGACTTGATATTTGTAGATTTTTTGTTATTTATAAAAAGCCCAAAGGAAATCAAGGGCATCTGGAGAAGGTGTCGAAAAAATGTGCCACCCCTTTACAGTTTGATTTCAGCATTATCCTGGCACACTGTACAGTATGTCAAAGAATGGTGCTACTCCAAACCTAAGGTATGGACATTTCTGTGAACAACAAGATAAGAAGCTCCCATCTGTGTTTGTTTTCTCTGGGTGCCAGTCATATTATGGCTAAACACAATCCTTAATGCTCAGTTCAATCTGGGGAAGTGATCTCAGATAGGGGTTTTAGTGGGACAGATTTCCAAAAGATAAGATCGGCTAAAATCTGGATGTTGAATGTTTTTGGAGGCGGCTTAATTTCTGTGCAAAAAGAAAACGAATAAAACAAAGGCAACAATCTCTTAGTCTAGCCAGTAAATCCCACAAATACCCATCCAGTGTCCACCTACTTTAACATGGTTAGTAACATGCTTTGAACCCGTTATAGGGTTATGAATATTATACACAATTCAAAAACTGCATATTTAAATTAATTTTAAAGATGAAAAGTCCCCAGTTGCTTGACAAGTTCATTTAGATTTGAATATCAGCATTTAAATTAAGTTTTATTCTGGATTATTGATACGTATGAGAAGAATAAAAAGAGCATTGACAATATTAAATATGCATTAAACTGGGAGTGATATGTTCTAACCAGTTTACTAAAAAAGAACATTTACATGGGGACATGAGCAAGGCTTAGATCAAAAAGGACCCCAAGGTTCCTCACCTGAGTAGTTTGATTCTAGGACCGTCAATCACCATAACTCCTCTCTTCTCAGACTTCAAAATGTTTTATTGCGTCTACTTTTTAACCTCGTCTGAGCAGTTGTCTGTGACAACTGGCAGAAGACTATCAGGTCCTGGTGATCTGCTTATTTTAAGTGCTTCAAAGCACTTTCTTGTTAATCTACCACACTTCCCTGTAGTTTATTACAGATCAATAAAAAATATTAGTTAAAATTATGGACTGGGTAAAATTCAGAAAGAGTTACACATTTAATTTCCTAATGTATAGGAAAGGAGCATGTTTTTCTCATCTGCTTTTAAAGAATTGCTTTGTTGAAATACTTGTAAATATCTTGGCTACAAATTATTTAGATTTTGTAAGGAGTTGAGAATGAGTGTGCGATTTGTAGCTGAGTGGCAAAGAATTAAGCAAAAATAACATCTTATTTTTTTGTTTCTTTCAGTGTGATACATGTGTAATACAGAATACAATTCTGGACATGCTGGAAATTAATTTGTATGTTAGTAGAGACCCTAATGTGTAATTAGAATTACTACATTAGAGTAGTAATTCTTAGTAAGTAGTAACTTCTTAGTGAGCTCTAATCTTCTGACTACACAATGACAGTCCAGGGTAAAAAATATCATCTTCACCATATTACCACTACCACCATCATGATTTTCTAACTTTTAAGAGTTTAATTCCATCACCATGATCTACGGTTCATGCCGAACTTGTTAACTTAATGCATTATTTGTGTTAAGTACTGATCAGCATAACTTCAGTCTTATCACAGTTACATCCATGTCTTAATACCCAATGGTCAGAAACCTGTGCTAAACACCTGTGCAGTACTATTTGATTTAGTGTGCAGGTAAACAGCACTTGATAATAGTCAGATAAATTATGGTGTCATCAACATTTTTAAGTCGAACCCTTTAATAGAGATAACCATTCGGTGATAGTCAAGTGGCAATCTGTAATAATAATGACATTTTATAAAGAACCTTTTGTGGTACCTCATTTCAAGATAAGGTATAATTAAATAAATAAGTATATAGAAATACATTTAAACAGTAAGTTAATTAAAATTTAGAATTAATTAAATGCCAACTAACGTGCAAGGTGTGGGTTAGGCCTGGAGATCATTCTGCTGTCTTGTAGAACAACAGAGCAAATAAATACTAAATCATATATTATATAGCAATATATAGTAAACCATGAGAATCCCTAAATCATTTTATGTACAGTATGGTCTAATAAAATATTATGTATAAGTGAAGAAGAATATTAAGTGACTCAGAATCAGCAGCTGTCAGCAAGACTTTAAGAACCTTAACAAGAGCTGTTTCATTACTGTACCTAAACCCTGACTGGAAAAGTTCAAGCGGCTTATTAGATGAAAGATGCATTGTAATAGGGTCGCAATCACACATTACTTAATTTTTTCCTAAAAAGAACACCTTGGAGATATGTAATAACGTTAAGTCATTAATGACTAGCTTTTATTATAAATGTTACAGCAGCAGACTTTAAATATAGTGTTTCAAACCCAGACATCAGGGAGTCATTGATAGACTGTAGAGTGATATGATTTGCTTTGTCCAGGCCGTGATGATGCAGTATCCTATGGAACATCTGACGTTGCTTTTTCATCTACACTTTAACATTGAACCAGCCTTTCCATCAAGTTGATAAAGGTTTACCTTGTTCTCATCTGTTCATAAAACGTCATTCTGCAACTCCCCTTTATGACAAAAACTCGGACACATGGTGGAGGTAATGCCATGGCCTAGACAAGCAAAGCCTGGCTCTGGAAAAGGTTCACTTGTCTGTATTGATGATCTTACTAACAAGAGCAGCAGCAGAATTAATTCTGAGGTTTTCAGAAACATTTGTCTGCGAATGCAGAGGAAAATACTTCCATACTTATTATATGTTCCGTACAGTCAAAGATCACCAGGTAAAAAAACATGGAAAATCTTAATTTCCAGTTGACTATGCATTGTACAGTACATGTAGAAGAAACAAAGTGAAGTCTGAAAATCCCAGGAATATGCAACAGCTCAAAGCAGCTCTGGCAACGAATCTCAAATTACTCCACAGAGGCTTTGGTATGCTCAGTGGGTTGCAGACTTCATGCAGTTATTACCTTAAAGGGATGTGCAATCAAATACTTGTACTTTAAATAAGTAATTAAGCAATAAAGATGACTGTAAAACAAAAATGGCAGTTTTAACTTTTTTGTGTTGCAGTACTTTTGGAGGGCACTGTCACTGATGCTACTGACTATATTGAGTTACTACTTAGTGGTGGTGCAAAAAAAAAAGTACTTGCAGTGAATGTGTGTCACAGTACGTACAGTATGATAAATATAAAGTGAGTAAATAATTTCAGTAATTTCAGATCTGTATTATTTCTGTGTAATTTTAAGAAGAACAATTCAGATGATCAAAAAAACGAAAGAGATACTTTTGTACCTGAATAATAACTTGCTTATTAATGCAGATTCCTAAGTTCTTCTTAGAAACTAGAATATGGTATTTTCAACACCCTTTGTTTGAATAAAACCTGTTTTACCTTTCCAAAACATAATTGTAAAAGTTTAAAGGAGCAAATATAGCAGAGTTACCATGGACATTGAACATAGAGTTTACTTTGTTGTCCATTTATGCATAGTTTGGATAAAATTGTCCATGTAAAATCGTGTGAATGTATTATAATTCATACAAAAGAGACTAAAAAAATGCAGTGTTTTCTTAAGAACAATCAAGCTAAACATTTAAAGAAGATTCAGACGTGTTTTCTCTCCCTCTTTTTCAAACAGTTGTCTTAATGCCTGCACCTACTGCAAAACTAAACATGCACGAGGGGACTTGGCAAGCTATCCAATAGAGGAGCTGGTAGAGAGAGCGCAACAGTCCTTTTTGGGTAAGTAACACAGAAGGTGGTGCTCTTGATAATTTCTTAGGTCTTACATACAGTATAAAGTCATGGGTATGAATTATTTTACATTGATATTTCTGACTAGTTAAGCAAGAAAGTCATTGGATTGGACCAGCCAGTATATTGAATATATGAATACTATTATATTGTCTAGCTTGAGAAATTTTGTTATTGTGTAAATAATACTGAATTTGATTGGTAAAGGCCTGCCAATCAAAATCTAGGTAAATCTATTATCCTCGGTGTTGGACAATAATAAAACACAATATCTAAACTACTTATGAAGACTGCTACCAACCTAGTATCTGGGCAAAAAAGGAGGAAATCTGTTTTTGTAATCGGTTGCAACCAATTGGGAATCATATCTCCCAGTCAATAAATGTTATCTTATAATCTGTTTATTCTCTTATTAGTAGTTGTTGATCTTTAATGCCATGTGTTGATGCAAAGTGTTATTTTTGTATTGCATATGATCATGGTTTAGACATAATGGTTAAGTTTATAAAGTAAGCTATTCATGTTTATCATGTTTAGAGCATAAACATCTAAGCTGATAAAAAGATTATTTCAAATTATGTTTATGAGCCATAGGCTACTTGTTAATCCTTTTTTTTCTCCTCCCAACCTTTGTTTATGCTAATACCTGCTAGTAAATATATGTAGATGAATGTTTTTTTCTTATTTTTATGTAGAGTTAGGAGAGAGACCAGAAAACGTTCTTACTGTATAATAAGATGTTTTTCATGGCTTCTCTGCCCATTAAGTCATGGAAAGAGATTGAGTCCAACACCTGTTTTCATTTAATTTGAAACAAAACAATAAATGTTTATCAAATGTAGTGGTGACCTAGAGTTGTCCTAGAACATCTGCATTTTCATATTATAAATCTGTAAATCTTTTTATTGTCATTACAAACTTGAATGGCCCTGCTGTATGAAATGTACTTCCCACATGCACATTCTTAACTGTATTATCAGGTTGACACAATCACTGTACATCAATATTTATCATGTTTTTAATGCATTCCATTATATGAAATTACTCAAAATGAATATTTATACATAAAAGAAAACATGATTTAAGACAGACTTATTCCCTATTGAATAATATGGAATCCCCTTCTCACACCAATTATAGGCATCACTGTTAGACATTTAAATTTCCCTATACCATTTACTTTACTTCTTTACAGTTACTGCATTCAACTTCCACAGTGAACAGATTTTTAATTTTTTTTCCTATAAGCAATTTTAATCGAATGGTAAAATATAATAGATACATTTTACCAGGAAAGTTTAGAATGTTTTATGGTTTTTCCACTGGCTAACATACAATGAAAGCATTAATTTTAAGTGGCATTTCATGAAAGCATGCAAGCTTCACATTTTTTTACTTTTGATGCATGTTCGATAACATGAAAACCGAAGATAAAGAAATTATGGTATATATTATAAGCAGTAATCATAGCAAAGAAGCCTATAAATAATTTAATGAATGATTTCTTATTTAATGAAGTTTATTTCTTTGTAAGTTTTTCTTTTCTTTCATATTTTCTATAATATTTATTATTTTATTTTCATTTTAAGAGCAGGTCATAACAGCATACCTAAATATAATGGCTTTAATTACTTTAAATATTGTTTTATAAAAATTGCATGCAGTGTGTAGTGTACAATGCCAAGTTTATTCATAATCCTCTTTTTTTTATTTTACTTAACAAAATACTTAGAGGTGTGCATAAATGTGACCCTGTGTTTTCTGGAATTCAAATATGCATGATTAATATAATTTTTTTCTTTGAAATATTATTAAGATTATGGCATAGCATTTTAGGAGCTTTAAGCCATGACATATTACCCAGTTTCTCACTCATTCTGTTATATGATATTTTTTAATTTCTATTTCCTTATGAAATGAATAATCCTGGGAGTTACTCTCAAGTTTCATATTTGTACGGTGCTGCATTTTCAACAGAAAACAATAGACTAAGCAACACGTACAGTGCAATGTGAATTCTGTATTTCCATATTAGCAATTCATGATTCTATTCTATCTGCTGTATTTCCTGTCAGGCATTATTCATCTCTGTAAAATAAGAAATAAATAATAGTCCAGTTTTCAGTACTTCATCCAAGTGGCTGTCTTTTCAGTTGTTCAGATAGATTTGCTAGACAAGCTTACATTACCTACACTAGCCCACATTCAGTGCATGAATGTTGTTTTGATTTTTCAGGAATGTGAGCAGATATGTTTCTTGCAGCAAAACGGTTGTTGTGAAAAACAAAGGTTACTGTTATGTCATCAATATAGAGCATTATCTTGTTGTATCATTTAAATCAAGAATTATACAAGAAACATATGACCTTCAAAACTGTCAGTGGGCAATTGGGCAAACACTGACTTGGTAACTGCATGGTTTTAATGCTAGCTTCTTAACTACATTTTAATGCATTGTTTTATGTACTGCATGGGAACAGCTGCTTTAGTTATGCAAAGCATTGGCTAATTGATTATTTTAAATGATGGTATGATGTCTACAGTGCAGTACAGTTTTTTTTTTAACTTCCTTTACGGTGGTTGTGACTCCTGGAAATGAGTGCAAGCAGATTTTGTCAAATTGTAATTCATACCCTTTTTTTTTACTGGATAGAGTATGTCAATTTGTTTTTCTTAACCTTTAGAATAAGATTTGTTTTTGGACGTAAGCTGGTTTGCTGAAAAGAAAAAAAAACATCTGTTATTCTGATTATACCTTGTTGTAAAGGTCTCTGATTTTTTCTGTTCATCCATTTTAATGTAATGTCTAACATGGAAAAAAAACAGTTTAAAGTGTAAAGTACCAAACCTGCAGGCTGAAAAATAGGTTTCAGAAGGATTTACTTTACCAGGAGTAACCAATCAAGCACACATAATTTGTAAAGGTCTGCGTCATTCAGTTACACCTTATGACACAGCTGTAGAATAATAGTTGTTTGAAAAGAGCTTTTTATCTTAATATGCGAAGTGCTAAATGCACACATTCCATAAATTGAAATGATACGTTGTGTAGATCCTGTTGGAAGGGCATCAACTTTCTATTCTAAATATATAGCAAATTACTTTAAGCTTAGAAGAGTTGTCCCTGAATTGGCATTCAAGAGTCTATTCAAAATTTACAGTCATCAAATGTCTGGTATATCACCATAGATTGACGTGGAAGATTGCTTTCGAATTACCTAGCAGTGTTTGAATAATGGAAAAGCAAAGAATGGTGTGAGAAGCAAATGTACTTTAAATTGCAGAAGTTCTGCTCTATTGGGAACCGAGAAATGAACAGCAATTATCACATCAGCACTGTAGATACAAAAAATGGAATATAACAAAAAAAATCAATATTTTGCAGTTGTTAGAGAATATAACTGTTAAGACAAAGTTCTGGTTTGGCATAAGTAGTTGTAGTTTCATATTATATATGGAGTGGGTGAGACACCTTCACCATTATTATGTTGGAAGAAGATTGACCTGGAAAGCCACTTAGGTTTTAAGTTTATTGAGATGGGATTCTCTGAGGTGCTTTAGCAGTTGAAGATTCAAATGTATTAAACACATTTTATCTAATTTTTCTGCATGTTTAGCCAGAAACAGAGGGAAAAATGATTGTTCTAGGTTATAATAAGTCAAAAAAACTGTTTTGTAACACTTTTGTAAAAACTTTGGCAAAGTCAGTGACACATTTTTTAGTTTTAGTCTGTCATTCTAGGATGATAATTCTTGTAATGCAAGAATGCAAAACTTTGTAATGCAAAACTTACTCTCCAGATATACAATATTGTTCTTTTATTATTCAATTAATGTTTGCTGTTTCTTTAAATATACATTACAATCATGTTAGTTATAGTGAGTTTTGTTCCATTTACTTAGTAAAAAGTTGGATTGTGTAATACTGTATATATATATAAGTTGCTATCTGGAGTTGTCACACTCAGCAGGTTCTAACCTGTCAAGATGTTACAGTCAAATAGTCTGTCAATGATGGGCATCGTCTGGAAGACTCCACATCATGACATGTCTCCAAGATGGATGCTCCATCTTCATTTTCACTGCTAGTTCAACTGAATCGGAAATGCCAGGTCGGCAGGTTAGCTGTAAAGGGTCAGTTAAACAATCATTGTTTGCAGGCCAGATGACCACACATGGGGACCAGCTATGTATCAAAACAACCAAATGAGATCCTGTGAACAGCACTTCACATAGCCTGGCCAGCAGTGCAAGTCTTCTTTAGTGATGACTCATGTTTTTGTGTGTAGAACACCTTGAATGACATCAGTATGGTGAAGACATGCAGAATAATGTGTTAACTCTTGTTTATGACAGATCAGTCGATGACTGTGTAGTCACTACAAATATCCACTCACAGTAAATAGTGGCAAACTGGTTTTCTAGTGCTAAATTGATGAAGCAGTGATGAAACCACTGTGGTTTTGTCAACTGATTTTATCTTTATTACTTTCAGTACAGGTGTAACAGTGTTTGCTACAACTGATTTTTTTTCATCCATTATAGGGGAAAAACTCATCTTTGATTTCCAAGTTGATCAATCGCTAAAGATATGCACAGGTTGATGCATGTAGTCTAGAATCATAGGTTCAAGTCTGAACTGTGTCATGAGTTAACTGTAATAGAGATTCCTCAAGTGATGGCTTGGCTTGCAGTTACCAGCGGGACTTGCTCAGTATCTGTGAGAAATGGATCTCCAGATTTTATACTAAAAGAAAATGATAATGCCGTTTTTTATGCCATTCTCAACTGCAAACATGCTATTCATTTCATGATTGGAAATGTATACGGCTGATATTTTATGGGATTTAAAAGTGTAGTGTATGCATCAAACACAATTTAATTTAGTGATAACATGCTCCCATTCTGATTAGATTATACTTGTTGTGATGTCTTATTGTCCTTTGTGATGGGGAAACCGAATATTAATCTTATCTCCTCAAAAACTA